GGGCGAGGTGGGAGGATCACCTGAGGTCAGGAGTTCGAGGCCAGCCTGGCCAACATGGTGAAACCCCATCTCTACTAAAAATACAAAAAAATTAGCCAGGTGTGGTGGCGGGCACCTGTAATCCCAGCTACTTGGGAGGCTGAGGCAGTAGAATCGCTTGAACCGAAGAGGCGGAGGTTGCAGTGAGATGAGAAGGCGCCATTGCACTCCAGCCTGGGTGACAAGAGTGAAACTCCATCTCAAAAATAAAATAAAGCCTCTCCTTTGTCATCGTCCTCTTAGGCCACCTGATTTCTCTTCCACATCACATGTCATGTGTTTATTCTTGTATTTCTTTGTTGGAAAGATAGGTTGGAATCAGATGTTGAAGGGACGTGAACACCAGGCTAAGATTTGGCTTCTTTCTGTTGAGCAGAGATCAAGGCTGATTTAGCCCCCACTGACCATTTCAGAGTCCCTGCATGCCCTTCTCTGGTTCCCTGACCCCACCTTACCTACATGGCTTCTCTGTTCTTCAGATGTGACAAGCTTCTTCTTGCCTAAGGGCTCTCACACATTCTGTTTCCTCTGCCTACAGCACTGTTCCACTTGACTACAGCCTGTCCTGCCTGCTCACCCCTTGGCATCTCTGATCTCAGATGGATAGGTCACTCTTGGATCCTCTCACAGAACAGAGCATGTGTCATTTGTGGGACTCACTCCAACAGTGACACAATGCTGCTGCTTGGTTAGTACTGTCGCTCCACTTAACCAAAGCTTCTGGAGGACAGGAACTGCATCTGACCACTCTGCCATATCCAGGCACTCAGCATGGAGCATGGCACTTAGCTGCTCATTAAACTCTTATTGAATACACGAATGGTGAATTCATGAGTGAGGTTTACTTGGATGCACTGATGTCCTCAATGGGCTGTTCAATAGCAGTTGCGTATAGGAGTTAGGTTCACATTTTGATGGGATGACAGATTAGGAAGTTTGTTACTATGAGTGAAGAGGAGACCTTGGGGTGGGGTGAGATGGTAGGGGAGCTTGGCACTCCACGGGCTGCCCTTGACTTTGCTCTGTACTTTGAAGGATGCAGAATTCAAGCGTCCTGACTCCTTGCACAGCTACAAGGTTCAGCAGCCATTCCTGCCACATGGATAGAGGTCGAAGGTCCAAAATAAGGAAGGGGTCAAACCCCTTTGCTCCCTTACTTCCCTTACTCATTATAACCTGGGACACTGACAGACAGACCTGGGAGCAGATAAGAAATGAAGAGAGGCCCAGGAGCTTCACATGTGCAAGGGTAGGAGGCAGGCAGATGCTGGACCTGCTCAGCCTAGAGGTGCTCATGCAGGTACAGGCCAGAGACAAAGCTATGGCCTCCAAGGATTCTCAGGGAGGCACACCTCTTGTGTGAGGAAGGATCTCTTTGTTCAAAGCCATCCAACAATGAAACTGGTAGGTAGAAAGCTCCCCATCACCATGAAAGGCCTACCCATGGGGCTGCTGTTGGAAAGCCCTAGTGGAAGAAGGGAGATGGAACCCAGATGACCTTTATTTTTTATTTTATTATTTTATTTATTTATTTTGATAAACAGTGTCACTCCATTGCCCTAGCTGGAGTGCAGTGGCGCAGTCTTGGCTCACTGCAACCTCTGCCTCCCTGGTTCAAGCAATTCTCCTGCTTCAGCCTCCCAAGTAGCTGGGATTACCTCACAAGTAGCTGGGTGTGCCACCACACCCAGCTAATTTTTTTTGGTATTTTTAGTAGAGATGGGGTTTCACCAGGTCAGCCAGTCTGGTCTCGAACTCCTGATCTCAGGTGATCCACCCAACTTGGCCTCCCAAAGTGCTGGGATTACAGGTGTGAGCCACTGCACCAGGCCTATTTTAAATTTTTATTTATCTATCTATTTATTTATTTATTTATTTGGGATGGAGTTTCGCTCTTGTTGCCCAGGCTGGAGTGCAATGGTGTGATCTCGGCTCACCGCAACCTCCGCCTCCCAGGTTCAAGCAATTCTCCTGCTTCAGCCTCCTGAGTAGCTGGGACTACAGGTACGCACCACCACGCCCAGCTAATTTTTGTATTTTTAGTAGAGATGGGGTTTCACCACGTGGACTGGGATGGTCTTGATCTCCTGACCTCGTGATCCACCTGCCTCGGCCTCCCAAAGTGCTGGGATTACAGGCATGAGCCACCGAATCCAGCCTATTTTTATTTATTTGGAGTTTCTTGCTCTGTCACCCAGGTTGGAATGCAGTGGTGCCATCTTGGCTCACTGTACCCTCTGCCTCCTGGGTTCAAGTGATTCTCCTGCCTCGGCCTTCTGAGTAGTTGGTATTACAGGTGTGCACAACCACGCCTGGCTAATTTTTTGTATTTTTAGTAGAGACAGGTTTCACCATGTTGTCCAGACTGGTCTCAAACTCCTGACCTCAAGTAATCCACCTGCCTTGGCCTTCTCCTAAGGTGCTGGGATTACAGGCATGAGCCATGATACCTGGCCCCTAGATGACCTTTAAAGTGCAACTCTCCTTTTATAAGATGATGTTTTTGCTTTAGGACAGGAAGTCATCATTAAATATTTGCTCTACCTGCCTAAGCAATGGAAAGATAGCTGCCACCTGCCTCAGAGGCATCTCTGGGACTGTGCAGTTTCCTAAGGAGAAACGGAAGGATTTGAAGCTGAGTCAAGGATCACTGGTGGCCTCAGGCTGGTCTTGGCCACTGATCTGGGGCTTCTCTGGGTCTGTAGAGGTAACTGGCTGGCTGGTGTCCCCAAAGAAATCTATTCTTTTTTATTAATTAAAAAAAATTTTTTTTTTGGTAGAGCTGTGGTCTTGCTATATTGCCCAGGCTTGTCTCTTAACTTGTGGGCTCAAGCAATCCTCCTGCCTCACCCTCCCAAGTGTTAGGATTACAGGTGTGAGCCATCGCACCTGACTGGGGCTGTCCTCAAACAAAAATCCTTCCCCTCGTCATTGTAATATTCTTGAAACTTATCTGTAGGCTTGAAATCTTTCAAAATAAAGTTTTTCTTTAAAAAATACACACACACAAAGAACAAAAATAAAAAACAAACACAGATTCTGATTTAAATATTTCAGAGTGAAGCTCAGCATCTGTATTTGTAAATTCTCCCCCAGGAAAATCCAATCTGCAGACAGAGCTGAAAAACACTGCTCTAAATAAATTAGAGAAATATGTATGCAAAAGAAATTTATGTTTATAAATCAGAAATTCTTTAAGAGAAATAACCAAATTACTTATTCATGAATACTGTGTAAGTATGGGGGAGTTTTAGATGTTGATTTTTCTTGAAAAAAATCTTGTTGGCTAATGCCCTTTTCGGCATTAGCCCACCTGCACCCAGGTGAATTAAAAAAAAAAAAAAAAAAAAAGAACCTTGTCAGTATTTAACCTATGAAAATGCAAATGAGGCCAGGCGCAGTGGCTCACACCTGTAATCCCAGCACTTTGGGAGGCCGAGGCAGGCGGATCACAAGGTCAGGAGTTCGAGACCAGCCTGGCCAATATAGTGAAACCCTGTCTCTACTAAAAACATAAAAAATTAGCCCGGCATGGTGTTGGGTGCCTGTAATCCTACCTACTCAGGAGGCTGAGGCAGGAGAATCACTTGAACCCGGGAGGCGGAGGGTGCAGAGAGCTGAGATCACACCACTGCACACCAACCGAGGCAACAGTCTGAGACTCTGTCTCAAAAAAAGAAAGGAAAATGCAAATGAACACATAATACCTGCAAAGCAAGAAGTCATCTTCCTTTTAATGTTTTTTGTTTGTTTGTTTTGTTTTCAGATAGAGTTTCGCTCTTGTTGCCCAGATGAAGTGCAATGACATGATCTCGGCTCACCACAACCTCTGCCTCCCAGGTTCAAGCGATTCTCCTGCCTCAGCTTCCCAAGTAGCTGGGATTACAGGCATGCACCACCGTGCCCAACTAATTTTGTATTTTTAGTAGAAATAGGGTTTTTGTGGCCGGGCGTGGTGGCTCATGCCTGTAATCCCAGCACTTTGGGAGGTCAAGGCGGGTGGATCACAAGGTCAAGAGATCGAGACCATCCTGGTCAACATGGTGAAACCCCGTCTACTAAAAATACAAAAAATTAGCAGGGCATGGTGGTGCGTGCCTGTAATCCCAGCTACTCAGGAGGCTGAGGCAGGAGAATTGCCTGAACACAGGAGGCGGAGGTTGCGGTGAGCCGAGATCGCGCCATTGCACTCCAGCCTGGGTAACAAGAGCGAAACTCTGTCTCAAAAAAAAAAGAAATAGGGTTTTTGTGATCCACCTGGCTTGGCCTCCCAAAGTGCTGGGATTACAGGCGTGAATCACCATGCCTGGCTCCTTTTTATGTTTTATTTTGCCTGTTAGTTGTGCCCACCTTGTGCTACAAAAAAAAAAAAAGTGAAATTAAAAAGTTAAACAGGATCATTTCTGCTTACATTTACAGTTCATTTCATCTCTGCAAAATGTTTTCCCATCTGCTATCACTGCCCCCGTCCTCACAGCAGCTCTGGGAGAAAGGCAGAGCCAAAATTATCATCTCCACTTCGTGTACGGGTGATCTGAGGCCCAGTTAAGAAAAGTGGCTTTACTGAGGTCCCAGAGTTGGTTGCTGGAGGCACTGGCAAAGGAATCCAGGCTCCAGCCCCCTTCTCTGCCTCCTGCCATCTTCCAGTTGCTTTTTCCACTCTTTCTCTTTCTCTCTGCCTTGGACTCTCTCTCTTTCTACTTCAACTTTCCTCTCCTTGCTCGAACTCTCAGATTGGAGTCAGCGTTGCAAGCTGTCCAAACTTTTTGTCACTCTGGAAACCCACCAGCCCCATGGCCACATCCCTATTTCACCATGAGCTCAGCATCTCTACCTAGAGCAAGCCCTTTCCGGATGCCAGTGTGCAGAGATCAACTCTGGCCTCTCTATCTGGCCCCACATAAGATAAGATAAGGGAAGTAGCACTATAAATAGGCCCCCATCCTTCCCCAGTCCCAGCCCAGGCCCCAGCCAGTTCAGGCTACACTATCCCAGGATCAGCATGGCTGTCTACCATTGGGTAGTTACTCTGACCTTGGCTGCCCTCCTTGTTGTGGACAGGGGTGAGTGGGCAGAACCTGGATTCTCTGTGACTTTGTGTTGGTAGGTGAGCTGGGGGTGAGAGCAGAGGCAGGGCATGGAGCACCCTGTGAGTCCTCAGCTTTTAGCATGCACCTTCAATTCTGCATATGCACCCTCCACTGTTGCAGGGAAGCTCTGGCCTGGGAGAAAAGAAACTTGGGTTCAAATCCTGACTATGGCCCAGATTGCCAAAGTCCCCCTCTTGGGGCCTCAGTTTCTCCAGCTGTACAGGAGGAGATGGTTCCAGTTCAAGCTGCATTGTGCAACTACTGGGCTGGAGGTTGTGTGGGCAGAAGGAAACAGGAGGGTCCCAGCTCTCAGGAGAGACTGACAAGTATACTGGCTGCAGGGGGTAGGTGCTAAAAGAGATCTGGCTGAGGTCTTCTGAACTCCCGATCTCTCTAAAGGTTGTGGTTTGTGACTTGGGAAACCATGTGAGCATGAGAGAGCCCTTTCCCAGGCCTGGACAATATACCTGGGGCTCCCAAAGTGCTGGGAATTACAGGCATGGGTCACTGCACTGGCCTATTTTTTATTTTTATTTATTTATTTTTTGAGACAGTTTCTAGCTCTGTCACCCAGGCTGGAATGCAGTGGTGCCATCTTGGCTCACTGTACCCTCTGCCTCCTGGGTTCAAGTGATTCTCCTGCCTCTGTCTCCTGAGTAGCTGGGATTACAGGTGTGTGCCATCATGCCCAGCTAATTTTTTGTATTTTTAGTAGAGATTGGTTTTGCCATGTTGGCCAGACTGGTCTCGAACTCCTGACCTCAAGTGATCCACCAGCCTTGGCCTTCTAAAGTGCTGGGATTACAGGCATGAGCCATGGTGCCTGGCCCCTAGATGACCTTTAAAGTGCAGCTCTCCTTTTATAAGATGATGTTTTTGCTTTAGGACAGGAAGTCATCATTAAATATTTGCTCTACCTGCCTAAGCAATGGAAAGATAGCTGCCACCTGCCTCAGAGGCATCTCTGGGACTGTGCACTTTCCTAAGGAGAAACGGAAGGATTTGAAGCTGAGTCAAGGATCACTGGTGGCCTCAAGCTGGTCTTGGCCATAGATCTGGGGCTTCTCTGGGTCTGTAGAGGTAACTGGCTGGCTGGTGTCCTCAAAGGAACTGTTCTTTTTTTAATTAAAAAAAAATTTTTTTTTGTAGAGCTGAGATCTTACGATAATGCCCAGGCTGGTCTCATCTGTCATCCAGGTTGGAGTGCAATGTGCAATCTAGGCTCACTGAAGTATCCACCTCCTGGGTTCCAGTGATTCTCCTGCCTCAGCCTCCCAAGTAACTGGGATTACAGGAGTGTGCCACCATGCCCAGCTAATTTTTGTATTTTTAGAAGAGATGGGTTTTACTATGTTGGTCAGGTTGGTGTTGAACTCCTGACCTCAGGTGATCCACCCACCTTGGCCTCCCGAAGTTTTGGGATTACAGATGTGAGCCACCCCACCTGGCCCTAATTGTTAAATTATTTTGTAGAGATGGGGTCTTGCTGTGTTGCCCAGGCTGGTCTCAAACTCCTGGCTTCAAGTGATCCTCCTGACTCAGCCTCCCAAAGTGTTTTTTTTTCCATCACAGATTAGTTGGCCTGGTCTAGGATTTCACATAAATTGAATCATAGGGTATGTAATCTTTTTTTTTTTTTTTGAGACAGAGTTTCGCTCTTGTTACCCAGGCTGGAGTGCAATGGCGCGATCTCGGCTCACCGCAACCTCCGCCTCCTGGGTTCAGGCAATTCTCCTGCCTCAGCCTCCTGAGTAGCTGGGATTACAGGCACGTGCCACCATGCCCAGCTAATTTTTTGTATTTTTAGTAGAGACGGGGTTTCACCATGTTGACCAAGATGGTCTCGATCTCTTGACCTCGTGATCCACCCGCCTCGGCCTCCCAAAGTGCTGGGATTACAGGCTTGAGCCACCGCACCTGGCAGGGTATGTAATCTTTTGTGTCTGGTTTCTTTTTTTCTTTTTTCTTTTTTTATAGAGACGGGGTTTCTCCATGTTAGGCAGGTCTTGAACTCCCAACCTCAGGTGATCTGCCCGCCTCGGCCTCCCAAAGTGCTGGGATTACAGGCGTGAGCCACGGCACCCGGCTTTTTTTTTTTTTTTTTTTTTTTGAGACAGAGTCTTGTTCTGTTGTCAGGCACCAGGCTGGAGTGCAGTGGTGGGATCTCCGCTCACTGCAACCTCTGCCTCCCTGGTTCAAGCAATTCTCTTGCCTCAGCCTCCCAAGTAGCTGGGACTACAGGCGCACGCCACCAAGCCCAGCTAATTTTTGTATTTTTTTTTTTTTTTTTTTTTTTGAGACGGAGTTTCGCTCTTGTTACCCAGGCTGGAGTGCAATGGCGCGATCTCGGCTCACCGCAATCTCCGCCTCCTGGGTTCAGGCAATTCTCCTGCCTCAGCCTCCCGAGCAGCTGGGATTACAGGCACGCACCACCGTGCCCAGCTAATTTTTTGTAATTTTAGTAGAGACGGGGTTTCACCATGTTGACCAAGATGGTCTCGATCTGTTGACCTCGTGATCTACCCGCCTCGGCCTCCCAAAGTTGCTGGGATTACAGGCTTGAGCCACCGCGCCCGGCCCATGTATTTTTAATAGAGAAGGGGTTTCACTATGTTGGCCAGGATGGTCTGCATCTCTTGATCTCGTGATCCACCCACCTCAGGCTTCCAAAGTGCTGGGATTACAGGTGTGAGCCACTGTGCCCGGCGTGGCTGGTTTCTTTTGCTCAGCAAACTATTTTTGAGATTCAGTCATGTTATCACATGTATCAGCTGCTTGCTTTTATTGTTGAGGGGTACCCCATTGTATTTATTTATCCATTCTCTTGCTGAAGGACATCTGGATCACTTTCAGTCAGGGCAATGTGACATGGAAGGGTTTTAAGCAGTTCAGTGACAAGTCTAGGTTTGCATTTTGATACCCCAATGCCAGGCTTAAACAGCATATCAGAGGTGACTTAGTCTAAGTTTCTGTTTCCCTCTCTGTGGAAATATCTTGTAATAGCATCTCCAGGAATAGATAAAACCACATTGCCTTGCACACCTCCAGTGATGGGAAACTTGCTACTTCTGGAGAAAGTCTCTTTCTCTGTGGCATAGCTCCCACTGAGAGAAAATTCTGCTTCATATAGAACCCAAACCTGCTTCCCTGCAGCCTCCTCACAGAGATGGGCTCTGCCCTGTGAGGCTGAAAAGAGTCCATCTCTCCTTCAGACCCAGGATAGCCCTTCAGAGACTTCAGGGAGCATCCTGGCCTTCTCTAAGTTACGTAAATGCCCTTCCTTCCACCTGTGCCATTAGACACAGCTCCAGTTCCCTCATCTATCCATCACGCTTGTCAGTCACACCACAGTTTGCTCATGTCCTATAAGCAGTTCAGCCAGACCTTGAGGGGCACGCCGGTGCATGTAGAAAGAGTCAGGTTCTGGAGTGCAGCAGACCCATGTGCAAATCCTAGCTCTGCCTTAAGAAACTGCATTGCTTCACCTCTTTGAGCCTCTTTTGTAGTTGCTTAAACCGACCTCTGCCCCAGGAAACAGACTCTGAGATATGCATGCAGTTTATTGGGGAGTTCACTGAGTTCATGGGATTAATATCCATAAAGGATGAGGGAGGTTGACTCCGATGCAGTGCAACAGAAGCTTCAGATGAGCCTACAGGCCACTTTGGACAAGGGGGTCAGGTGGCCTTTGTAACCATATCAACCCGACATGGGCTATGGGCTGTTCCTGGGTAGAGGAAGCAACCTTGACAAGGCAGCTCTATTCTCTGAAGGTAATTCCTAGAAGGGACTTGAAGTGAGTGGTCAATATTCCTGGCAGCTGGGGAAATTAGTACATAAGTGCCTCAGTTTTGAGGGAGGGCTTTTGGTGGCAGAACACAGCATCCACTACTACCTCCTTTCTTCCCTCTGTTACACAGCTATAAGAGAGAGGTGGATAGTACTTAAAATCATGTGTTCTCAATGCCTGGCACATAATAACTGAGGAATTGTTATTTTATAATTATTATATAGGACACAACAATTCCAGTGGATCTAACTAACAAGGAATAGCCTGGACTGTCATCTCCCTATCCTGACTTCCTGTCTCTGTGTATGGAACTCAAGATCACATCAGCTTTCTGGCAGCCCCATTGACTGGTGACTCATCACCTTTCCTTGAGGAATTCCAGGTTGGATAGTCGCTGGGCCATGCTCCCTGGAGAAGCAGTCCTCAGATCCCTAGACCTGGGGTCCAGAGCTAGCATCATCTAATTCTTGTTTCTTTGTGTTTCAGAAGTGCCAGTGGCTGCAGGAAAGCTCTTTTTCTCAAGAATGGTAAGGCAGCTGAGTGCTGTTCTCGCTTTCCCTCTGCCAAGAGGAGCTCTCTCATTCATGCTGAGGAACCCATTATTCTTCTCCATGATCCTGCTCAGACACTTTCAATGGCTTCAACGTGGCCTCCTGGCCTGCATATTCCTCAGATTAGCCCCCAAGGCTAAGTAGGCCCAGTCCCTTCACCCAAGTCCCAAGATTGGCCTCAAAGCCCTTGTGATCCCCCCAACTGGTCTCCAAGGCCCCTTCCATTAGTGACATCTCCCCATGCAGGCTTAGCAGGACAGAGTGTGCTCTCTGTTCTGTATAGTGCAGATGGGCAAGCAACAGAGGGGACCCTGGCATACTGAATGCACCTGTGGAGTGTGCCAGCCTCCCCCCACCACATTCCATCTGATTGTCTAAACACCAAGTTACCCCTGAATCTGATTCCACCTTGGCCCTTGGTCTGATGTCCCCAGTGACCAGAAGGCAGTGGTGCTGATATCCTTGAGACCTTTGAGATTACCTCTTCACATAGGGGAATAAGGAGGCTCAGAGCCACGTTCCCATCTGGAGCCTCAGCACCCTCCCCATCAGTCCTTCAGAATCTAGCTCCACTTATTCAGTGCCAAAGAGCCAAATACTTTACGTACATTATTTCAATTAGCCTACGTGCGAGGAACACCACTGTTTTTAGGCCTTCACGGCTACCTTTCTCACCCTATCCCTGTCTCAGGCTCTAATGCCCGTCCTGACCAAGTTCTGACCTTGACCTCAGGCTTGACCTGAAACCTTTTCAGACACCCTCAATTAAGCCCCAAGCTCTGCCCCATTTCTGCAGCCTTCCCACCCCGTGTAGCCTTTCTGACATGGGCCTGATAGATCATGCAGGCGAGGGACAGGGCAGGAACCCCTAGGGAGAGAGGGGCCTCCTGGGAATGATGGGTGGTTCTGTGTCCTGGGGTCTTCAATGGAACTAGCAACAGAAGTTCTGGTTAGTCTTTGAGGAGGGTGTGAACTATCCCCAGATGCTAGAGGACACAAACTCACTCCACATACATTAACACAGGCATACGCTTGAATGCCTGCACACCTGGGCTCCAGAGACACAGGTACACATATGTACACACCCAGGCATAGGCATGCACGTGGTCATGCACACACACACACATACAAGCAAACACACCAAGGGGCCCCGAGTGGTTGGTTTCATCTTCACTGGACCCACACTGGGGCCTTCTTGACTCTAATACCTCCCTGGGGCCTCTCTGGCTCCAAGCAGAACCCCTGTATCCCTCCCCACTGCCTCTGAATCCCTGAGTCCTCTCCCTCCCTTCTTCTCTTTCACAGCCCATCTGTGAACACATGGTAGAGTCTCCAACCTGTTCCCAGACATCCAACCTGGTCTGCGGCACTGATGGGGTCACATATACAAATGAATGCCAGCTCTGCTTGACCCGGATGTAAGTCTGCCCCATAACCCCTGCTTTATTGGGTGGACCCCCATCTCTGGTGCACAGTCTGAAAGGAGTAAGACTTGACCTGCTTCTTCCTTATACATGCTTGACTTGAGAAGAGTCCTCTAACACGTGCCCTTAATTGAATGAGCACCAGATTAATTCAAAGAAGGCATATGGTTCCAAGCAGAAAGCTAGAAGCTGGTGGTGAGTAAGGAGTAGGGGCTGAAACCCTTTTCCTTGTTCTGCCTTGACTATGTGACCTCGTTTGTTCTTTCATTCCTCTAGCCAGCAATTATTTTTTGAGCCCTTACTATGTGCTAGGGCCTGGGCCTAGAATAGAGCATAAGTTAGCATCAATGTCTTCCTGAATATATAATTGATGTAAAGGGGAAGCCAGGCTGATGGTCAGCCAATCGCAAAAAAAAAAAAAATTAAAAAAAAATTTTTTTTTTTGAGATGAACTCTCACTGTCACCAGGCTGGAGTGCAGTGGCACGATCTCAGCTGATTGCAACCTCCACCTACCAGGTTCAAGTGAATCTCCTGCCTCAGCCTCCCGAATAGCTGGGATTACAGGCACCTACTACAATGCCTGGCTAATTTTTTTGTATTTTTAATAGACGTGGGGTTTTACCATCTTGGCCAGGCTGGTCTCGAACACCCAATCTCAAGTGATACACCCGCCTCAGCCTCCTGAAGCGCTGAGATTACAGGCATAAGCCACAGCAACCAGCCTGCAGCACAAAATTCTAAGGGATCAGTGGGGCACATAGGATGTCATGGGAGTAGGGAAGAGGCAAGAGCAGGGAAGACTGCCCGGAGGAGGAGACTCCTGAACTCAACCCTGAGAAATAAGTAGAAATTAGCTAGGAAAAAGTAGCAAGGGAAGATAATTCCAAGTAGATGAGTTTGAAAATGTCTACAAGGAAAAGAAATTTTACATTTGAGGAAACATAAGAAGTTAGACTTGTTGGAGTATAAAGTTTAAGGGAGAATGGGGGAGAGATAAGAAGTGAGTCGAGAGAGATAAGCAGGGCTAGAAAATGACCTCCCTACATCAGATTACCTACTGGCTCTTAGTTTCTTCATCAATAAAACCCATCTTCTGGCTAGGCACAGTGGTTCTCACCTGTAATCCCAGCTCTGAGGGAGGAAGAGGTGGGAAGAGAGCTTGAGCCCAGGAGTTCGAGGCCTGCCTGGGCAATATAGTGAGACCCTGTTCTCCACACACACACACACAAAAACAAAAAAACATAAAGCTAATCTTTCTATGATCCTGAGAGCTAAATGAGACCATGGAAGTGAAGAACGTCCTCCTAAGCTGCAAAGCTCTGGATAGATGTGAAAGTTTGTATTTGAGGAAATATAAGGAACAGCAGGATGTTGTCCTAGCTTAGAGAAAGATCATGTTAATTAAGGACTCATGGTTAGAAGGTACATTGGGAGTAGAATTGACAGGCTTGGATGTGACTGGATGTAAAGGGTGAGGGGAAGGAGGCAACATACTGGTTTCTAATTTGTGGGCTTGGGTGGCCAGCAGTTCCATGTGCTGAATGGGTGGTTTGGGGGTCTGTACCAGTTCTGCTGGGGGGCAATGTTTGTGGACAGTTGAGCCTCTAGGACATCCCAGTGGATATGGACAACTTCATGAACAGGCAGGACAGAGGTCCAAGCTGGAGACAGATTTGGCAGCCATCAGGGTGTACAAAGGGAAAAGCTGTAGAAAGATGTGCCCATGGACCTTGGGATCTTCCCTGCATCTGTATACTGCATATGTGAGCAGCACTCAGCAGGATATCTGGATGGACTATGCTAGGTCCCTGAATGGTACATTACAGCTCCTGAGAAGGTGGCCTCATACCTGTCTTCTTTGATCCTAGAAAAACCAAACAGGACATCCAGATCACGAAAGATGGCAAATGCTGATCCTATAGGAGCACCTCAAGCCATGAAGTTTCAGGCTGGAGAACAGTGGTGGGCATGGAGAGGATATGATGTGAAATAAAAGATCCAGCCCAACTCTGTGAAGTGGTCAGTGTCTCTGGGGACACTGGTTGCAGAGGAGATAGGAGGTGGATTTTGCATTGTTCTCTCTACTCTGAATTTGATGTCCAGCTTCTCTCCATCCCTCTGGTACTCCTCAACCCTGTTACATGTCCCCTCAAAGGTCCCAGTTATCTTCTGCCTGCCTGAGAGGCCAGTTGCTGACCCCAGGATGCTGCTTAGTGTTCCATCTGCCCCAGACTGGACTGTCATTCAGGCCAAAAACCTAGGTGAGATCTGTATTCTCTGCCACTGCCAGGGTGCATGGCCCAGCCTCAGGTGCAGTGGCTCACACCTGTAATCCCAGCACTTTGGGAGGCTGAGGGTGACAGGATCGCTTGAGGCAACACAGCAAGACTGTCTTTACAATTTTTTTTTAATTAGCCAGGCATGATGGCATGTACCTGTAGTCACAGCTACTCGGGAGGATCGCTTGAGCCTGGGAAGTGGAGGCTGCAATGAGCCATGATCACACACTGTACTCTGAATGACAGAGTGAAACCCTGTCTCAAAAAAGAAAAAAAAAAAAAAAAGGTTGTGAGAGTCACCCTATGCCCCCCATGGCTTCCTCCTGGGCTGTACCAGCACTCCAAGGCAGGCACACACATGCATGTGGCACACAACAATGGCTGATATTCAGGGAGTGTACACAGTACAGCTGAACCGCTTGTCATAACATTGAACTAGGTTTTTCCACAATTGAAAACAGGTGCTGCCCCAAGGCCTTTGAGTGCCCCCCTCCCCCTGTACCCTAGCCACCCAGATTGTCCCCTGGAAACACCTGGGTCTCTCGGTGTCCAGGATCTGGAATTAATTCCTGGCACTGCAGGATGATTTCCAGATGCTGCTCTGCTCTTTTGGTCAACATATGCTCTAATTGGTTGTCAAATATTCTAACATTAGACACAGCCCCAGGCATGTCCTGCACACATGCACTCACACAATGTCCCACAAGGACACACAGCATTCAGAACTGTCACCATAGACAGAGACCCCCTCCTGTGGTATATGTTGAATAGGCAGAGCCTCTTGATAATGGTGGCAGGAGAAAGGAGTATGGAGAGAGGCCTGGGCAGGTGAGAGCAGTTTTACAGACTCCGATTCCTGCTGTAGGGTGGGCAGAAGGGGCACAGGAAGGCACGACGCTACCTTCCCTGGACCACTGGAATGGAAACACTGGACAGGAATTGTTGCTGATAGACTTGCAGGTGGCAGGACTGGGAGGCCCTCTATGAGTAAGGCCTTCCACTGGGACTGATAAACTTGTTTCATAACTGCTTATGAATGATGTAAGATAAAGTTTGGCTGTGACAGCCAGAAAACCCAAAATAACAGTGACTTATAGACAGAATGCAGTTTTCTCCCATACATTGACCTATGAGGTATGACAACTCCATGCTCCTCTATTTTGTTACTTTGCCATCCTCATCAGTTTCTACCTCAGGCCCAAGACAGCTGCTCCAACTACAGCCATCACATCTGTATTCCAGGCCACAGAGGGAAAGGGCATGCCACCTGCCTCTGAAGATGTTTACCATAAGATGTACACACTCTGTATATACCCCATTAGCTAAAATGTAGTCTCATGGCCTTCTGAGCAGGGAGACTGAGAAACAGTCTATCTGGTTGGCCATGCATTGAAATAAAAATTAGTTCACTTTTTTAGGAGGAGAAAGTGGATACTGGTGACATCTAAAAGATTCTGCTCTAAGTGGGACACTCCTCTTATACCCAAGTGGCATAGCCCAGCCAAAGACCTCATCAGTGACCCTTCCTTCCCAGACTTCCACTCACCACCTGAGAAATCAGAGATTAAGCCTGAACAATGTGTCAGGCACCACCTGGAAGGAATACCTAATTCACCACTTACAGATGCAGATTCTGTGGTCCCCTCTCTGGGAACTACCCCAAAACATTAAGTGTTGGCTTCTAAAGACCATATCTATGGCATGTGACCCTGCTGCCCTGGCCATTGCTGATTAGCCAAAAGATTTCTCCCCAGGATCTTTCAAATCAGAAATAAGAAAACAGAGGCAGTTCCCCTCTGGCATTGGAGCTGTAGGATGAACAACACAGGGGTTGTTAGCAGTCACACTTCCTGCTTTGTGGAAGGAGCAGGAATGAGAATATGACACAGACATGCAGAGGCAGAGTGATTACAGGCAGTGTTTGAGTTCCTGAAGCCCAGCTGCCCTTAACCTTCCCAAAGTTACATGGGATGACTTGGTATGATGACCATCAAGTTTCTATTTTGCCCAGTCTCTTTGAAATTAGGTTTCTGGTACTTTCAAAAAAGGTACTGACTACTATATGAAGGAGTCTCAGAAGAGGTAACCTTTAAGTTGTGTCTTGAAGGATAAGTAGAAACCATTAACTAAATGGACAATGTAGAGGCCGGGAACGGGTGGCTCATGCCTGTAATCCCAACACTTTGGCAGGCCGAGATAGACAGACTGCTTGAGCTCAGGAGTTTGAGACCAGTCTAGCCAATATGGTGAGACCCTGTCTCTACCAAAAATACAAAAAATTAGCTGGGCATGGTGGCATGCACTTGTGGTCCCAGCTACTTGGGAGGCTGAGGTGGGAGGATCACTTGAACTCAGGAGGCAGAGGTTGAAGTGAACAGAGATCATGCCACTGCACTCTAGCCTGGGTGAGAGAGCAAGACCCCATCTCAAAGAAAAACAAAACAAAACAATGTGAGAGAATCCTTCCAGCTGTAAGGCTGAAGGATTAGTTTGTGGGAGCACACATTCCCATCTGTTCTCCCAGCAGTAGGGCTTACCATGTCCCAGGCAAGTGGGCAACTGAGACGGAGTGCTCTCTCCCCTTCTCATGGGAGAATGGTTTCACCCCTTGGATGAGCAGATCTGTGTGGGTGCAGCCTGTGCAATCACCCAGCACATCTGCCCAGCAGGCTATGCCTTAGGGCTTCTTTTCTCAACCCTTAACACAATAAAGGCTGTTAAGACTGCAAATTCCAATGCTGACAGAGATTTAGAGGCTGAATGCAGTTAAGGAAATTTCATTATTGATGTGTGCATTCAACATTCATTCATTCTCCAAATATTTATTGAGGTCTTACTATATACAAGACAATATGCTTGAAATAACACTATTACCACGAAGCTCCTTCACCCAAGGAACTGACAGTCTGGTGTTAAAGGCAAAGATTAACCAAATTATCCCACAAGTAAACTATCATGGACTATGTAAATGTTGTGAAAGAATCATATGGGAAGCCATGAGAGGATCCCACCTGGGGGCCTGATAGGGTCTCAAGACAGCAAGCGAGGGTTCTCCATGGAAGAGACAGGTGCTTCTGAAGAATGAATAAAAGTCACCTATACAAGGGTTGGGGTTGGAAAAAGGAAGGTGAGGAGCAGTCCAAGTAGAGGTAGCAGCAGGTGCAAAGACACTCAGGCAGGAGAGGACGTAGTGCATTTGAGAACCTGAAAGAAGAGCGGCTGACAGCAGAGAACAAATCAATGAGGGGCTTGAGATGAGATGGGAGAAGCCATAGGGTAAGGACTTCCGCCTTTATAGTAAGAGAAGTGGTGAGCCATTGGAGGGTTCTAAGCAGGGGACTGACATGGTAAGATTTGCACTTTATGATCACTCGGGCTGCTCTGCCGAAAATGAACTAGAAAGGGCCAGAGAGGAAGTGGGAGCTAAAGGGAGAGGAAGAGAGAACAAAATCAGAGAATGGGCCTGTGCAACCCTGTGTTGGTTGAGAGGTGGTACAGTAGAGGTGAAAAGCACTGGCTCTGAAACTAAACCGCCCAGCTTTGTGTCTTGGCTTTGCCGCTTACTCTACAACCTTGAGTTAATCACCTAAGTTCTCTCAGTTTCCTCATCTCTATAATGGGAATATCTGTTTAGTTCTGAAGTTATGTGAGAATTAAATGACTGATACATATGAAAAATTTAGAATAGTGTTCTGCATACAGCAACTTCTCATTAAATGGCCCACGCCATATAGCTATCACACAAAAATAGATTAGCTCTGATGAAAGTTGGGGGTGTGGTGGACTAGGACCTGAGCTTTGTCCACAAGTCTACCTTTACCACCTTGTCTGAGGTCTTACCCACCCAGTCCTAAATCCCTGGGACTTCAACGACTCCCTCTCTGTCAAATGATGTTGGTCTCAGAATGGCCTTTTAGAAGCCTGTCTCCTGGGCACTGTACTAAAGAATGGGGTGACAGCAACTGATCATTTCAGGCAGAGTTCTACCACATAGGGCTACTCTCAAATGTTATTAAGCATAAATTATGATTATAGCCATGAAAGGCTTTTCCTCATTGATCAAAAACAAGCAAGCAAACAAAACACTCTTCTATTTGACAATGAGCATATAAACAGTGGGGGTTTTTTTTTTTTTTTCCTTTTTATTTATTTAAATGTTGCCCAGACTAGACTCAAACTCCTGGGCTCAAGTGATCCTCTAGCCTCAGCCTCCCAAGTAGCCGGGACTATAGGAAGAGGCCACTGCACCTGAATCAATTTTTTTTTATTTTTTTGAGACAGTATCTTGCTCTGTTACCTAGGCTGGAGTATAGTGGCACAATCTTGACTTGTAGCCACCTCCACTTCCCGGATTCAATTCTCGTGCCTCAGCATCTCCAGTAACTGAGATTATAGGCACATGCCAATAGGCTGAGCTAATTTTTTTTTTTTTAGCAGAATGGGGTTTTGCCCTGTTGCCAGGCTGGTCTCAAACTCCTGGCCTCAAGTGATCTTCCCGCCTCAGCCTCCCAAAGTGCTAGGATTACAGGCATGAACCACTATGCCAGGCTCAAACAATTTTTTAAATAACAATTATGGGGTGGAGGTGGGGGGCAATCCACAAAATGGATAGAACAGCCTTGAAGGAAATATAGAACTCAGAAGGATATGGTTAACAAAAATGCCTTTGAAGGAAGCACATGTCACTCCTGAGTTTATAGTTGGCTATACCACCTGCCTGCTTTACTCAT